AAAAGTGCTCCCGTACAGTCACAGTCTAAACGCATTTGCAAACAATTCTGTGCGACATTTTCACTTGTACTGTGCTTAGCTTGGCGGCATTTTCACATTTTTCAATAGTTTTCCTGTCACAAAATTGGAAAAGTGCTCCAGTACATAAACAGTCTACACGCACTTGGGTAAAACATTTGTACCATGGCGGCGCTTAGACTGTGCTTAGCCTGGGTAACTTTTTGAATTATTAATCCAAAATTACAAATTAGGAAAAAGGCTCCAGTAAAGTCACATTCTAAATGCAAGTACATATTATGCTTGTTTGAAGTTGGCACTCAGACTGTGCTTATTATTAGTATTGGAATTTTTTAACTTAAAATACTATTCTTTTCATAATTTTTATATAAAATGAGGAAGATGCTCCGGTAAAGTCACATTCTAAACGCCCTTGCAAATATATTTGTACCAGGTTGTCACTTAGGCTGTGACAAATAGGTAATTTTTCGAATTTTTTAACCCAAAGTTTGCGATTCTATAATTTACATATAATTCGAAAAGTGCTCCAGTAAAATCACATTCCAAACGCCTTTGCGAATATATTTGTACCATGTTGTCACTTAGACTGTGCATAGAGGCACATTTTTTACTTTTTTCAATAATTTTCACAAATTTAAAAAAGTTCTAAAGTCACATTCTAAATTCAATTGTTAATATATTTGTGAGAAGTTGTCACTTAGATTGTGCCTAGGCGGACACATTTTTCATTTTTTTGCTGATTTGTTGTCTTTACATAAAAATTATTGTAATTTTATACAAATTAGGAAAAATTCTCTAGTAATGTCACAATCTAAATGCAATTACTAATATATTTGTTTGGAAATGTCACTTAGACTGTGCTTAGTTTGGGTATATTTTTCAACTTTCAAACCGAAATTTTTATTTTATTTCTATAATATAATTTACATAAAATTTTAAAAGTGCTCCCGTACAGTCACAGTCTAAACGCATTTGCGAATAATTCCGTGCGACATTTTCACTTGTACTGTGCTTGGCTTGTCGGCATTTTCACATTTTTCAATAGTTTTTCTGTCACAAAATTGGAAAAGTGCTCCAGTACATAAACAGTCTAAACGCACTTGGCTAAACATTTGTACCAGAGTGGCGCTTAGACTGTGCTTAGCCTGGTATTTTTCGAATTTTTTGACACACACACAGCCATTTAGTTTCTGAGGTATGCCCATTAAAAATGTTCAGAAACCTTCAAAACGTCGAGAAATGCAAAAATATGCATTTTCGATTTTCGGCTCATTACTATAATTACCCTACGGGAAGTTAATAAATACTATTTTCAACTACTTTTAGCTATTTAAAAAAATTTAGTAATATAATAAAAGATATATAGTACAATTTTATATGTATTTCGGAACTCTTAGTGAATCGCACAATGGCTACATCCATTAATAATTCTGCAATGCTAACAATGCAAACAATACGGATTAACCATAGCGTACTGTTATATTGATTAATTGTCAAATGCGACTAATTAAGATTATCCCTCGTAGATTATATAATATATTACTACTACCCCTAGTGGTGGCCAATTGCCTATCGGCAAGTCCCTAAACTTTATATATAAATAGGTTGCTCGTCAGTAGAGTCCTTTTTCTATCTCATTTTAGTTTGCTCGTCACTAGAGTCCTATATTGTTTCGTATAAATCATGTATTTAATGTTGCACGTCAGTAGAGTCCCTTTTTGTCACATATTTTGTTTTTTATAAATATAATTGTTTTTTGCTCGCCAGTAGAGTCCTTTTTTATATCTAGCAATTTTTTTTAACTAAATAAATATCAATTTGCTCGTCAGTAGAGTTCATTTATTTGTTTTCAGTTTGCTCGTCAGTAGAGCCCTTTTTTTGTTTGAATATAAAGTTTCTTTTTTGCTCGTCAGTAGAGTCCTTTTTTTGCTTGAATATAAAACTTCTTTTTTGCTCGTCAGTAGAGTCCTTTTCCTAAAATCCAGATTCGATTTACGATTCAAATACTCAATTTGCTTGTCAGTAGAGTCCTTTTGTTGAAATTTAAATATGTTGCTCGTCAGTAGAGTCCCTTTCGCATTTGTCTGTCTCATTTTTAATTTGCTCGTCAGTAGAGTCCCTTTTGCCTCATTTTTATTTTGCTTGTCAGTAGAGTCCCTTTTGTCTTATTTTTCAGTTTGCTCGTCAGTAGAGTCCCTTTTCATTTTCTTTTTCAGTTTGCTCGTCAGTAGAGTCCCTTTTCATTTCTTTTACGGTTTCTATAAAGTCCCTTTTTAGATTTATTTTAATTTGCTCGTCAGTAGAGTCCTTTTTTATCCGTGTGTCTTATTTTTAATTTGCTTGTCAGTAGAGCCCTTTTTAGTTGTGTGTTTTATTTTTAATTTGCTCGTCAGTAGAGTCCCTTTTTTATTTCTTTCACAGTTTCTGTAAAGTCCCTTTTTCGATTTATTTTAATTTGCTCGTCAGTAGAGTCCTTTTTTTATTCGTGTCTTATTTTTAATTTGCTTGTCAGTAGAGTCCTTTTTAGTTGTGTGTTTTATTTTTAGTTTGCTCGTCAGTAGAGTCCCTTTTTATTTCTTTCACAGTTTCTGTAAAGTCCCTTTTTGTTCCGATTTATTTAATTTGCTCGTCAGTAGAGTCCTTTTTTTATTCGTGTCTTATTTTTAATTTGCTTGTCAGTAGAGTCCTTTTTAGTTGTGTGTTTTATTTTTAGTTTGCTCGTCAGTAGAGTCCCTTTTTTATTTCTTTCACAGTTTCTGTAAAGTCCCTTTTTCGATTTATTTTAATTTGCTCGTCAGTAGAGTCCTTTTTTTATTCGTGTCTTATTTTTAATTTGCTTGTCAGTAGAGTCCTTTTTAGTTGTGTGTTTTATTTTTAGTTTGCTCGTCAGTAGAGTCCCTTTTTTATTTCTTTCACAGTTTCTGTAAAGTCCCTTTTTCGATTTATTTTAATTTGCTCGTCAGTAGAGTGCTTTTTTTATTCGTGTCTTATTTTTAATTTGCTTGTCAGTAGAGTCCTTTTTAGTTGTGTGTTTTATTTTTAGTTTGCTCGTCAGTAGAGTCCCCTTTTTTATTTCTTTCACAGTTTCTGTAAAGTCCCTTTTTCGATTTATTTTAATTTGCTCGTCAGTAGAGTGCTTTTTTTTCGTGCGTCTTATTTTTAATTTGCTCGTCAGTAGAGTCCCTTTTTATTTTCATTTTCAGTTTGCTCGTCAGTAGAGTCCCTTTTGTCTTATTTTTAATTTGCTCGTCAAATATATAAATAAATATATATAAAGCGAGAGGTTTTTCTTCAGATGGTGATATCACAATAATATCATAAAATTGTTTCTTGGACAGTTTTATTGAAAAATGTTTTTGTTTAGAGAGCATACGTTTCGGGTGTTGATTTGACCCATCTTTAGTGCTACAATTAAATATTTCAGGGTTACAAATTAAAACAATATAAACAATACATAATTACAGACAAAAATATTTATTTTATTTAATTACTGGATGGATGGCCAAGAAACAATTTTATAATATATATAATATATATTATATATATATATATATATATATATATATATATATTTAAAATTGTGTTTTTCTCCTCAAATTACACACGGCTATTAATTATAAAAAAATAGTTTCAAGTAAGAAACCCGAGAAGATGCATTATAGCACCCCATAACACTTAAGGGCTGTAACTGTAGAACTGTAGGCGAAAATAATAAAGAACTCTACCATAGAGTGGCGAGACGGTGGAGCAGTCGAGCGATACTTGCGAAATAAAAAACCAAAACATGTAAGAGATAATTTAGAAGACGTGGTTTAAAATAAAAAAAAGCGAAGCAAACTAATAGGGTTACGCACAAACTATTTACCCAATTTCTAATATTTTTTGCTATTTTAAAGTATACCGAGTTGCTGTGGAGTGTCACAATTCAGACAACAATACAGATAATTCAATTTAATACAAATTCACCGAATATTTCATTATT